TAAAATTATGCTTTAAACTTCAACTGTTTTCTATTTAAAAATATTAAAATCATTTTTACTTACTTTAAAGCACTGTATGTTCATATAGAGAAAATAATTAAAAAGCAAAACACAATCTTTTACCACCCTAAGGCTATTTAATCACAGATCATTTTCTAAGTGAGGTTTTCACCGATAACATTTTTGAAATTGATGCAGAACCCACAATGAACTCCCAATCCTCCTTTTCTCTTATTTTTCTCCATAGCATTTATAGCCACCTAGTATTCATTCTTTTTCTTTCTCTTCCTTCCCTCATCTATCAATCTATTGGTCTATTTCTTCATTCATTTATTAAATGTCTCCATCCTAAAACTTTGCTCTATGAAACAACATTTATATTTTGTTCACTGCTCTATCACAAGTCCCTGGAACACTGCTAATACATAAGAAACTCTCAGTGCATATTTGTTAAATGATTGGTTAAATGATTAGTCAAATGAATCCTATCTTGTTATCAGGTTTAAGCAATATATACCATTTTAAAATTTTTCACAGGACTCTTCAGTTTTTACATCAGAGTTAACTAAACCCCATTTTTCTTTCATTTAGAACCTTAAAAACTTCATTATTAGTATTCTTGGATGAATACACTTGATGCTTAAAACTTTGGACACACTATTAATTATTTTTTAGGGTAATCCCAGAAGGAGAATTTTAGGGTTAAATGGCATGTATATTTGAAACATTCTGCCAGCCTGCCCTTGACAATCACTGATATCAACTTATACTTCCACCACAATGTAGGAGAGTGCCCAATTTTCCACACTCTCAAAGTTTTCTTCATTTTCTTTTTAAATTTGCTGAGTATTTTTCTCCTCTAAATGTCCAAAAACAGATCACTATGAGAGATAATGTTTAATTCTTTTCCACTTAACAATTTTACTTTACCTGAGCTAGATCAATCACAAAGTCATTTACGTGTCCATGAATTAAAACTTGGTGCATACAATGTTCACTGCAGCTCTATTTACAATGGCCAGGACATGGAAGCAACCTAAGTGTGCATCGACAGATGAATGGATAAACAAGATGTGGCACATATATACAATGGGATATTACTCAGCCATAAAACGAAATGAAATTGAGTTATTTGTATTCAGGTGGATGGACCTAGAGTCTGTCATACAGAGTGAAGTAAGTCAGAAAGAGAAAAACAAATACTATATGCTAACACATATATATGGAATCTAAAGGAAAAAAATGGTTACGAAGAACCTAGGGGTAAGATGGGAATAAAGATGCAGACCTACTAGAGAATGGACTTGAGGACACAGGGAGGAGGAAAGGTAAGCTGGGACAAAGTGAGAGAGTGGCATTTACATATATACACTACCAAATGTAAAACAGCTAGCTAGTGGGAAGCAGCCGCATAGCACAAGGAGATCAGCTGGGTGCTTTGTGACCACCTAGAGGGGTGGGATAGGGAGGGTGGGAGGGAGGGAGACGCAAGTGGGAAGAGATATGGGGATATATGTATATGTATAACTGATTCACTTTGTTATAAAGCAGAAACTAACACACCATTGTAAAGCAATTATACTCCAATAAAGATGTTAATAAAAAAAAAAACAACTTGGTGCATAAGAGTAGATTGCTTAAAATGTGACAGACCTCATTTAATAATTCCTTCATTAAATGATTCAAATGTGTTTTTATTGGTTACACAACATTTAATGGCATATGGTATACTGATTGCAAATATACTACTTCCCTCTTTAATTTAGACTAATGAAAATGAGTTTTATACTTCTTAAATGTCTGCAAAGACTTCATTTGAATAAAATAAAATCACCTCAATACTGTTAATAAAAGTTCTCAGACAATTTGAAATAAATACACAGCTATAAAATGTTGAGTGATTGAATGTCCTATTAAGTATATGAGTCTCATGAGAAGAATACTATTTGTATATCAACCAAACTCATAACTTAGGTCATTTATCAACCTCAGTTCTTGACACTGTTACCTACAAATATACGACAGTCAGTAATCAATTTTAACTTGCCTATTATTCTATTCTAGGTAGAAAGATAACAATATACATGTTCTTTAAGTTCTGTAAGGCAAAGCACTCAATTCTTCTTAGTTATGTCATGACTCAAGGAACAAATAAGCATATCAAGCTCTACAAATTAATTCAAACAATCTTATAGCTTCATATATATACATGCACACACACATAATAACAGAAAATAATTTTATCTGGCTTGTAAATAATTTGACATAAAACCCAAAAAGGCTCTTCTCACCAGTATTAAGGTTTAACAAAATTACCGATATTTAAATGACAAATAATAGGGTTAAAAAAACCCACTATTTTCTTATTTTATTTCTAAGAAGATATGATAGTAAAGGAGATCATTCATAGGATAAACATTGACACAAAGCGTATAACCAACAGAATTATTATCACTGTACCTTTTGATTATATAACAATGATTTTTTTAAAAAATCAAAAGACTTAACATACTAGTTGTACCCAGCAAAAGTTAAATGGTATTAAGAACTGTAAATATAAATGGGCTATTCTCATTTTATTTATTTATTTATTTATTTATTTATGGCTGCATTGGGTCTTCATTGCTGTGCACGGGCTTCCTCTAGTTGTGGTGAGTGGGGGCTACTCTTTGTTGTGGTGCACGGGCTTCTCATTGTGGTGGCTTGTCATGTTGTGGAGCACGGGCTCTAGGTGTGCGGGCTTCAGTAGTTGTGACACATGGGCTCAGTAGTTGCGGCTCGTGGGCTCTAGAGCACAGGCTCAGTAGTTGTAGCACACCGGCTTAGTTGCTCGGCGGCATGTGGGATCTTCCCAGACCAGGGCTCAAGCCCATGTTCCCTGGATTGGCAGGTGGATTCTTAATCACTATGCCACCAGGGAAGCCCTATTCTCATTTTAGAATCAAGAATTTTTTGTCATATTGATCGATAAAAAACCTAACCTAAATGAAAATTAACAAAAAAAAGAGGAATTTATTTAGAGAGTTGATAGTATCACACCTGACTTCTTTTCCTTGATTGGATCAATGTAACAGGACAAATAGAAGTTAATCTTCAACTACCAAAACAAAGCATGGATATTAATTAAATTGGCCCTGGTCACCTATTAAATCTATGTTAGAGACATATTTTGGACTGTATACCTTAAGATAGCAGATTAAGTTCAAATGAATGAATCCTATAATTATCACAGTATCTACATATGTCAGAGGAAATCAGATTTCATAATCATCTCATCAGGTAATAGCTTTAGAAATCCATATGTTTTTTTCTAATGTGTTGATTATAGAGGCATGTGGGATTTCTGCTATCATTTATCTGAATTATAGGCTACTTTAAGATGCAGGATGGCAAACTTAATGAAGTATTGGCTTATTATGATAAACTCTTTTCATTTAGCAAGCTGGCTAATTTACAGTTGTATAGTGACTTTGACAGTCCATATGTCTTTGACTTCCAAATAATAACTGTCTTCATAATGAAGATATTTCCCTGTCCCAAATTCTTTCAGAAGCTAGTGTTGGCTTGGCATTAAGAAGAAACATGTTTCACATTATAATAAGATTTTATACTTCTAAGGAGCTTCAGCGGTTCTGAAAATGACTTTGAAATACAGTCTTATTAATCTTTAGTATTCTCATGAAAGCCAAGTAGGTGGCAAATATTATCTCACTTTTGTAAAATAGAAACTAATGAAACAATTAGTGAATTTACTTGCCCTAGGCTAAATACTGAAGCAATGAAAAGTCAGAGTGCCAATCCTGGAACTTAACTGAAGATCTTACTATGCATTGCATCTATAATAATTTTTATGGAGGTAAGAGTAAAGGCAAAGAGAAAAAAATCTTCAGAAAATATGAAGATCAATCTAATCTACTTTAAGAGACTCTGCAATAGATATTTGTTACCTGATTGATCGTGCTTGGTCACAGCGACAGTGATAGTACCTAAACTTCAAAGAACTAATTTCCCTGCACCATTTCTGGGTGACCACATAACGAGTGTGGTCAGAGACAATAGTAAAGGAATTTGAATTCTACTTCAAAACAAAGCTAAAACCTGACAAAATCAACAATGGTACAATAACTCAAGAGAAGAAAAAGAAAATAAGAAAAGCTAAATTTGGACTTAAAATGGACCTTTAAGTTGGTAATATACTTGATTCCTGAAAGACAGTGAAAAATAAAGCAAGTCTCTATGGATCTCAGGGTCTCCCAAGTATTCCTATTTGCTTGACCCATCGTATTCTCCCGCTTTGATTTTTCATTAAAAACTCCATTCTGTTTCATTTTTTCTCTTCATAGTCTCATAAAGATCCATTACAACAGTTTGGTTACTTAATGGCAATACATTTGTAAATTGTTGTTGAAAACTCTTGTTCCCATTCTTTATCTAATTCTCTTGTGTGAAATAATCTACTTACCGGTTCATTTTCATTATCAGGGAAAGTTATTTCATTCTATTTTAGTATAAAAATGCCATTACTAGTAGATGAACTAATCCCAATTTTAAAAATCAAAATTATTTTTGGAATTTCAACCCCTCAAATAAATGTTTACCTTTTATATAGCTGCTTTCTTAATACTTGAGGAAAATCAAAGTAATTCCATGAGACTGGCATGATATATATCTTGTATATAACTGATCTTCCACATCAGTAGTTATTTCTCCTCTAATAACTATAGCATATTAAGAGTTTGGTTTTTTTCTCTAATAGGATATGACTTATTAGCTTTAGTAAAATTAGTAAAATTGTCTTTGGTAAAATTAAAAGACATAAAACTCCAAACAAATCTTCTTACAGTTGAAAAAACATCTAAAATCTTTCACTAAATAAGCGGTTATTTTTTTGTCCTGCACACTTAAAAGAGACATGATAAATGTATGTTTACAATTGTCTATTTTAATAAGGAAACTTTAGATTTTGTTTCCATTTCTTTAAAAAGACAGTCTATACTTACCTGGCCCATCATTCATTTTGTCCAGGCACCGACGAGTTGTGCTAAGAAACGAGGCATGTTTTATTCTGGCCACCAAACTACGAGGTGGCATGTATTTATGTTGAACTTGAGACATCTCATATGATTTTTGAACATCATAGGTGCCTGGTGCTGGAACATCCTGAAACAAATTTCAATGGACTAGCATAAACATATAGAAAATTTCCAAAAAGATATAGCATATGTCACACTAAGCAATGATAATAGAAAATATGAAAATTTTCTTTAATTAGCCATTAAAAATAGAAATTTAAAAGAGTATCCCTAAATCTATGCCCTCCTTAAATTAACTTGTAAAAATTTAAGATAAAATAAACAGAATTATGAAGTATAGGTTCACATTCTTAAAAAAAAATAGCCTTCATAATATAGATCAAACTCTAATTTTCAAATTTCATAATGAAAATCAAATTTTATACAGAAATGAGAGCAGTGATTACTTGTTTTCTTAAGCAGCAAAACTATTCCTGCTTAACTGTCCTATGTGAGCACACCTTACTTATTCTACAAATGAGACTGCTTATTTCATTTTAATAGATTTCAATTAAGTTAAAAGGCTTCCCCTTTCATCACTTATGGCTCTTTACGTGCTCTACAGTTATATTAACATTTTTAATCAACATAAACCACACGGATATTAATAACCACAATAATAATTCTAAACTAAATTAAATCAAAAATATCATATATTTGTTGCACAATTAATGCCTGGAAACCATTAGCTAATTACCTCAATGGAAACTTATAAAACTCATTTTCTTCAAATTATTTTAAAACATAACATATTATATATATAACAAATCTGTTCATCTGTATTATGTATAAAGACCAAACTTTTTAAGTTTTAATGATTTTCTGGCAGGCAGGAGACTTGTATTGTGGCTAAGGTTAGAGACTCTAGCACTAGACTTCTTTGGTTCCACATGTCTGCTCCTTACTTGCTGTGGGACCCTAAGAGAGCTGCTTAACCTCTGTGATCCCCAGTGTCCTTATCTGTAAGTGGGGAAACTATAAAATTTATATTATATGTCATTGGGTTGCTGTGAGGATTAAATGAGTTAAAACAAGTAAAATACTTAGATTAGTTCCTGATTCTACAAAAGGGTTAGCTAATCTTACTACTCTACAAAAGCTAATTTCAACGTAAAAAACAAGACTGAACAATCAGGGTCTAGACCAACAGAGAAGAATTTTAATGTTTCAAATAATTCAAACAAATTTGGATACTGAGAAAGCAAACTTTTGAAGTCCATCTAGGAGCCATACTTTATAAAACATACTTTCTCTTGTTCCTTATATCCCTATTATCACCCTCAAGCACAAGCCAAAAACATTATCTCCCACTTCCAAAGAATCACTAAATACAGTAAAAGTACTGATCATGACTAGCAGAGGAGATTCTTACATGAAACCCCATATTTCTGGTTTAAGTACTGTGTCAAACACAAATGCCACAATCTGTAAGTCAACTAAGAAATGTCAATAGCTGTTTGCTTCTTGTCTGCATTAGGAGTACATTTAGTAAAGGCAGGCGGAGGATAAGCAATAGAAGCAATAGCTCCAAAGATGACTTTTGGATCTTTCGGGGCTGCTTCTGTGTTATGTGAAAGGAAAGTAGAAGAGAGCACAAAGGCACAAAGAAATCATGAGTACAATGTACTCTGAGCATTTAGGAAAGCTTTACAAAGATCTTGATTATCCCTACTATGCATTTTCATTTTCTTATCAGAAGCTGCTATTGTTCTTGCTTCCCTTAGCACCCTGCCTGGAGTCACCACCTAGTCCCTCTTCCAGTGCCTAGCCTAGATATGACTGACGGGTTTGGCTGCTGCCACATAGGAACCTTTTTTTTCTTTTTCTTTTTTAATGCCTCGAAGAAAAAGTAAGTAACTGCACAAGTGATCAGTTTTCTTCAACAACAGTGTGTTCCCCTCTAGAAAACTTCGTCAAACTAGCTACCCTAAATTTCATTAGATTCACTGGCTCCTCTACCAAGTGAAAATATACTACCCTCATCATGACCACATCTTTTTATAGCATTTTTATGCTTCTCTGAAAACTTATTCCCTACCTGTGTCCTTTACTGATGTTTCTAGGCTCTTCTTACTCATCTTCAACTCTCATTTTATCTGACCAAGAGATTAATATGTCAAATAAATTTTCTAGGCATTAATTAATTCCTAGGATTAGTAAGACAAATCTGAAACCCTGTTTAAAAGCAATAACTTAAACAATACCTATATATAGTACTTTATACACCATTTCAGGGAAAAATAGTATGTATAGATAAGATCATCAAATTTCTGTTGGTGATCCTTTGTACATCACAGAGAAGGCACATGATGAGTGGATATAATAGACATTTCTCATCCTTTTTTTTAAACCCAGTACTTGAATCCTGTTCCTGTGTTTGGGAAATTCCACATGCTTTGCAGCAAAATCTGAGTCCCAGCATAAAAGCCAAAATTACCTGAGTCTTATCTTCCTGGTCTAACTTTAAAAACCTAGGACATGAATCTAGGTCACAGGCTCAAATGCCAGCCTTTCAACTGGCAGCCAGTTATTCAAAAAGACACAGAACATTAAAAATTCCATTTTAGATTTATTTTATTTATTTTTTAGTTTAAAGAAGCTGAATTAAAAAAAAAATTCTATTCTAGTGATGGCACTCATAGAGCTAGCAGTTATGTTCCCAGAGGCAACAGTGGGAGGACAACCTGAAAGAGCAATTAGAGACTGAGGGAAAATGCCATAAAATGATGAAATAAAACCTATGTCTCAATGCAAATTAAAGTTAAGTCTAAGGTGTCTTGACCTCTTCGTCTGGAAAACCAGGGCCCTACCTAAAAATGACATAAATAATCATAGAATTAAAATAATTGATGTATGCAAAATTCTTAGAATGGTATCTATAAAAAATTAATAAACAAAAACCTCAATTAAATATAGTCAGAAGATCAGGAGGGAGAGCTCTCAAACCATGGGACAACAGCAGAGCCCAACAGGAAGAAGAAAGACCCTCTTCTTTTCTGGCAAGGACTCAGCCAACGAAATGCCATGGACTCTGTTTTCTATAGCCCTCCTAACTTCCCTTTTCCTTTCTGTAAAAGTGTTCTCCTTCCCTTGCCCTGCAGGGAGTTGCACATGGCTCACCATGGTCGCAGACACCAAACTGCAATTCTCTGCTGATCTCAGATAAACTCATCTTAGCTGGAGAAATATCTGGCAGTCTATTTGTTTAGACCAACATACCTGATACATGCATTTGTATTTGCTTTCATTGCCATTATCATCATTATTAGCATTATTATTTCTATTAGTTGTGGGACTACATGAAACCCTCAGTGATATCTCCCTTTCCTGCAGAAAGATACCAACAGGATATTTGAAAGCAAAGCTCCTAGTATTTTAAGCCCCAAACAAACAAACAACAACAAAATCCAAAGTAGTTAAGTTGCTGGGAATCACATGAAGACAGTGAATCAGGCAGTAAAAAAAAAAATCACTGGTGGCAACCAACTTCAAAGGAAGGCAGGTCACCCTGTTTGTATTTTGGAAAAACCTTTTACCATACTTTGTGGTTTTATTTAACCATGTTAAGTTGAGTTGAAGCCCATGCACAATTCCCCATGCCCAGAACCCTTATATTAACCACTTAAAATCCAAGCCTAACTGACCTGGAGCCCCAAAGACCAGCTCCTCATTTCAAAAATTTCAGTATTTTTCCCATCCCTGTTCCCTGCCATTTTGACATATGAAATTTCATATACTCTCTAACCTTGGACATATTAAACTGCATGCATGCTCTTATCTTCCAAAACTCTAATAACCAAACATCAACAATTAAACCCCCCAGGCCTAGGAAGAAATGGAGCATTTGATCACTGAGTTGTCTCCCAAGATGTATGCACAATGCAAATAAAGACTGAACTCAAGTTTTAGCCTCAAAATAAATTTTCCTTTTACCATGCTATGGTAAAGGACTTGGGGATGTCTTTACTTCACATTTCATTTTTTAATGATACTTTCACTGGATACAGAATTCTTGGTTGACTTGCTTTTCTCTCAGCATTATGAATATGTCATTTCACTGATTTTTGGCCTCCATTACATTATTTTTTTTTTTAAGAGTATTTTTTTTTTTTTTTTTTTGGTTGCGTCAGGTCTTAGCTGCGGCATGCGGGATCTTCGTTGAGGCAAGCGGGCTCTTTGCTGCAGTGTGCCGGCTTCTCTCTAGCTGTGGCGTGTGGGCTGCAGGGTGCCTGGGCTCTGTAGTTGTGGTGCGCAGGTTCCAGAGTGCGTGGGCTCTGTAGTTTGTGGCACACAGGCTCTCAAGTTGAGGCACGTGAGCTCAGTAGTTGTGGCATGCAGGCTTAGTTGCCCTGTGGCATGTGGGATCTTAGTTCCCCAGCCGGGGATCGAACCCATGTGCCCCGCATTGTAAGGCAGATTCTTTATTACTGGACCACCGGGGAAGTTCCAGCCTCCGTTTTTTCTGATGACAAGTTCATGATCACATTATTTCCACTGTATGTAATAAATTGTTTTTCACTTTCAAGATGTTCTCTTTGTTTTGGTTTTCAGCAGTTTGACTATGGTATGTCTAAGAGTGTTAGACATCTTTATGTTATTACTTAGCAGTTCACTGAACTTCCTGGATTTGTATATTCATGTTTTTCATTAATTTTGGAAAGTTTTCAGCTATCTTTTCTTCAAATGTTTTTTCTGCCCGTTTCTTTCTCACCTCCCCTTCTGAGACTATCATTACATATATGTTGGAATATGTGACATTGACCCAAAGGTCTCTGAAACTGTTCATTTTGTCAATCTTTTTTTCTTTTTTCTTCAGATTTAATGGTTTCTATCGAGCTATTATTTAGTTCACTGATTCTGTCTTCTGTCATCTCAAATCTGCTATTGAGTCCAGCTGGTGAATTTTTCATTTGCATTATTGTACTTCATAATTTTAGAATTCTTTTTTAGTTCTTTTGCTTGCTTGCCTGCCTGTTTCTATTTCTTTATTGAGATTCCCTATTGTCTAACTCAGTATATTTTACTTCAGTTATTTAAACATAAGTTCCCTTGATTCTTTGAATATATTTATGATGGCTGCTTTGAAAT